CAGTTTTCAGTTAACTAAATTCAAGTCTATGGAGCACAAAATGTCACTAAAATCACTCTGTCCTTCTAATTATCAAATAATTGATAAAATGAATATCAATTATTTGCACTTTTGTTTAATCTAAATTAAGTCAGCAGCTCCATCAAATTGTTTAACATTTAAATGTAAGATTTTAAGGAGCTGGCAAGTTTACTTTGTATGAGTTCAAGAAACAATATTCATAGTTACATTTTGTTACCCTAGCTACAGTCTGTGAGTTTGATCTTTAAGTTTGAGCTCTGTTTGTTCACAAATACAATTTAGTAAACTGCAATTATAACTGATTGCTTTTTAGGTTGGCCAATTAAACTACTCCCCCTCTCAGACTAAATCCAACACATCTGTTAGAGGTGCTGATTTTTTTAGCAACAAAACGGGCCCCTAAATCAAATTCTGCTCAAGGCCTCATACAGCCTTGGACCGGCCCTGCATGATGAGTTAAATCTGCTGCACTACGCAGAGATGCGCAACAAACGGGAGATTTAATTCAATGCTGCTTCAGTAGCTCTTCCATTTCGTGTCTGTTGAGTTTTTAATAAGCGTCACAGAAACTATTCTGGTTGGTCGAGTTTATGGGACAAGTTTCTCAGATCTCCGTGCGGCCGTGCAGATTAACTCTGTCTGACTAAGTGGACAAAGCATTTGATATGGTTTGATGCATTGTCTAACCAAAACAATAATACTAAAAATAATACTATAATAATATAAAATCAGCGTGATGCGTTACAGACAGCAGAGCGCGAAAGCTCCTCACCAGGCTGAACCTGCATGATCAAGTTAGCACTAGTTCGTTAACTAATACACCGGCCAACCGGGAACACATAGATGAACTTTATCAGCGCAGGCAAAGCCGGGCGCTGTGCAGCGTGTTGAGATGGAAAAGCCGCACAGAATTCTTTGTTCCAGAGTTCTTGATCAAAGTAGGACTTTAAACACCACTCTGGTTGGCTCTGGTTGCGCAGCTCTACGTGAACTGCAGGAATAACTTGTAGTCGCGCTTTCAGAGATGTGCTGAGCGAGTGGCGAGAATGATTTATACATAAACATATCTTTTAGGAATAAATCTGCTCTGCCAGTGAAGCTCTCGGAGCAACAGAGACGCTTGCAGTCCGGCTTAAAAAAGAAAAAAGTTTTTATTTTTTATTTTTTTATTATTATTTTCCTAAAAACAAACAAGAGAGGCTTAGCCTGTCAGTGGCGCTAGTAAAGGATGGCGGGCCACCAGGCCTATAATACACTGGGGGAAACCCTGATAAGTGGGTGACCCTACGAGAGGCATAAAGACCCTAGGCAGCATAGCTCCTGGGATCACTGGGATACTCAAACCCCTCCACCACGATGAGATGCCACCCTGAATGTCCTACATCTTTTTCTATGATGTTGCTTTTCTGAATGTGTGGGTTTAATAATCTCAGAATGAATCTTAAGAAAACAAAAACTGTCATTATTATATGAGTAGGTTGCTTTTGTAAAGCCAGACCTTTTCAATTCAGATCATCCTCAATAATTTTGCATTTTACAGACCTTACCAACATTTTTACAATTTCAAAGATAAATTAAAAACAAATTAACAGTTTTTACTTTGATAAATTCATCCATTCCATTAATTCAATGTTCTTTTGTTATCTATTCTAGATTCTTTAAGGCTCTTCTTAAAAATTAAATGATCAGCAATTAATGTAATTTATGTTCCAGTAAGAAATTGATTTTTACACAAAAGAAATAGAAACCACCCACAACCAAAACCATAAGTGAAACTGATTATGAAGCCTCTGTAAACAAATTAAGCTTTCAAAAATATTAATCATCAGAATGTAGAATGAGCTCATTTTAATTTATTATGGGTTTCTTTGATTAATTGCTTATTGTGACAGACCTTGGTTTGATCCATTCTACCATCTTCAGCCAGTAACTGTGTTTCCCTTTGTTGAGGTTTCTCAGGGGGAGAGTTCTGTCAAACCTGCAGCAGAGGACATGACGTCAAAGGACTACTACTTTGACTCTTATGCCCACTTTGGAATTCATGAGGTAATTTTTCAGTTTTTATTTACCCAACAACAACAATCTCCATTGATTTATGGTTTTCGCCTTCCAAGCTGTAACTGCTCCCGTCTCTGCAGGAGATGCTGAAAGACGAGGTTCGCACTTTGACTTACCGCAACTCCATGTTCCACAACAAGCACTTGTTCAAAGACAAGGTGGTTCTGGATGTCGGCAGTGGAACAGGCATCCTCTGCATGTTTGCAGCCAAAGCTGGAGCCAAGAAAGTTATAGGGGTATGTATTCAGTTCCCCTTCAGCTGCTCCACTTGTCTGGCTCTCCAGGTTAACTGTGTGCTTGGAATTTGTTTTTCCAGATAGAGTGCAGTAGCATTTCAGACTATGCTGTGAAAATTGTGAAGGCCAACAATCTGGATGATGGTGAGTCCATGGAAACCAGCTGGACTCTGAGTCAGGAGGAGTCAGGGGTTAAATCTGTGCTCTTTTCCCTGCAGTTGTGACCATCATTAAGGGGAAGGTGGAGGAAGTGGAGCTGCCTGTGGAAGGAGTTGATATCATCATTTCGGAGTGGATGGGATACTGCCTCTTTTACGAGTCCATGCTCAATACAGTCATTTATGCCAGAGACAAATGGCTGGTATGTATTAGGGGGGATGTTGCTAGTTGAAGGTTTTAACTAAGGATGCGCCGATCCAGTTTTTTCATTTCCGGTACCGATACAGATATGAGATTTAGTATTGGCCGATACCAATCCAATTCAGAATATCAGGGCTGAATTGACATAAAACCTTTCTTTTTTTTAAGCAGAGACATAAACATACTGAATTATAAATTTATTTTGTAACCTGTAGCAGAAGGAGCCCCTATTGGGGCTGTTCCTCTACAATGAGAGAAAATTGGACAATGGGGCAGAGGAGAGCCCTTAGGATGGACGTCATCCTGTTTGTGTCATGTTCTCTAAGTTTTTGTTGTTTCTGTGTTTGAACTATCAGCATAGACAAACTGGTATGACTAATGGTGATATTAGAGCAGCTTCATGGAATGCTAATGGTCTCGACAACCTTGTTAAGAGGAGCAGAGTAATGTCCAAGATAAAAAGGGAGAAAATCCAGCTTATACTCTTTCAGTTATTCTTTAACTCAGTGGTCCCCAACCTTTTAATCACCGCGGACTTGGCAAGACTGGGTTCTTTTTTTTTGTTTGTTTTTATTCCCCCCCCGAATTTCCTCTTGCGACAATCTTAGAACGTCGCTCACGATAATCGTAACCGGTCAACCTGCCGTGTGTGGTATGCTAAGACTGATCGCGTCCAGTCAGTAGAACATTGGGACCGCTCCAATCTAAAATCGGGCATATTCTCGCAGCATGTAGGGGTTTCCCTGACTGGGAGCGAGAATGCAGCCTGTTGAATGCGACAGGTAGCTAATCAGAAAGTGTGGTGACGTAGCTCACAGAGAGAAAGGCTGCATCAAAATAAACAATCCTTCCTGATAGCATGGCTAACTGATTAATGCTGGTTCTGATGAGTTGTTTCTGACTGAGCGGAGTAATTCTGCAGAACACATGAGGAAGCAGAGGAGATCAATTATTTTTTTCAGGGATTACCTGTCTTGTGTTAGAACAGCAAAAGTTTTACTACATATCTAAAAACTTTTCTTTCTTTTTTTTAAGTTACATATTGCAGCTTTAAGCAGACATTCGGTGTTAGAGTTCACTGTGGGTGGAGCAGAAGCGAAGCTCCATCTGTAAAATATTACGACCAGTAGCGCGTAGCGGCGGCTTAACGAGAATAGAACCAGCATCTTACACCGTTAGCTCGAAGACTTAAATTATTTTTCAGGTTATTTGTTTAGCTGTCTGACCATGATGCTAATCTGGGTGAGTGTTGGTAGTTGTGTGCAGCTTCACTGGCCAGATGTCCTTTTTTCCTGCATTGAGCCTCGATGTAGACAAACTCTGTCAAGTGCTTGTTTTTTAAATGTCACATTAGATTCGTTGTGTTGACGCATTTTGACGTGCTTCACCCTCGAGGTAAATTTCCACTGCAACACGCAAACTTCCCTGTTCACTCTGAGTGTTATAGTTCCACACCACATTGCTTAGGATTTACTGCTGCGCGCTTGCGCAGTGTGAAAGAAAGAGGAGACAGCTGCACACGCAGGCTGTGAATGAGATACATGTGATTGGCAACAAGAGACCATGATCGGCGATCACTGATCATACACTTTTTCATGGAAATCGGCCGATTAAGATTGGTGTCCGATCGATTTTCACACCTCTACTA